TTTAGTTCCATGTCAAATGTTATTTAAGTGTCTACCAGGTATACCATTTCACATTATGCTCATGCACAATTCAGAATGTATTATATTTCCGGCTGACAACACTGTAACTATAACAGTAACTATAAAGTCCATGAATTAAATACAGTTACGAGTTTATGAAGTTAATGTTCCGAAAGAAATGATCAGCTGATATTATAATGGCAGACAATAAAGATAGACTTCCAATCGGATATGTTGGAAACTTGCCATTGATATTTATGTTACTGAGTGTACTTTGATTATGAACGATAATTTTCATATTCTTGTTAGGTTTTTGTAGAATGATATTTTTCCTGCATAGGAGTAGCCATTCATATAAATTTGTAATACTAATTACCTTAGAAAAACTATAAATTATAAAATACGTTTTGGAAAAGTTACAAAATTTTAAAAATTTTCTTTCAAGGGAGTTTTGTAATGTTATGATCTGAATTTTAATAATTTTCAGAGGCTTATTTAATATTACTCCGTATGAATACAATAAGTACAATGAATACTCATGAATGCAATAAAAGTGTAATTTTAAAAATTAATCATTATTATTTGTGTGTTGGTAAAGATATCTTTTTAATAATAGATGGAAATTTAAGTAATTACAATTAAATTGTGATTAAATAATTACCTATTCTCATACTTCCTAGATATTGACGATTCTCTGATATTCTCATACATCTTTCTAAAATTATCAACCAATTTCTCATCCACCAATATTAAGCTTTAAGGTAAGGTGCATATATTCACTACATATTTTATTTCTTTGCATTCTTACATGAAGATCATTGTATATATATAACCACACATTTATAACTTTTGTGTGTGTATGGTGTTCAGAAACAGTAATTTAGGATTTTAAATTCTTTAACTAATATTATGAAAAGCTACTTAAAAACTGGGACTGTGAGTCATTTTATCTAAAAAATTTATTCAATTTATATTTACATTTAAATTTTATGTGTCTATTACCTAAATACTAAAACTTTTCTATGAAAACCAATATTTAAAAAACCAAGGCGTGAAATTCCAACACATAAAAATTATTATGGTGAACATAAAACTATTCAAGTTTTATAACACATGTAGACAATCCATTATGGTATTCGATATTGCAGTTAAATTGGGTTTCTAACAAGAAAATATGTTGTTCTGAGCTACTTGCTACATATAATTTGTATTATGCAATAAATCACGTTTAAAGCAATAACCCGCTATAAAATCCGCCATATTGGTAATAAATCAACCTCCCCTTCCAACTTCCGCTAAACAAATCTTTTAGCTTCACTTCCTTTCTGGAAATTTCTCAGTTTGTATTTCCATTTAAGATTTTTGTTAACATTATTGATTTCATTTCGTTATAAAATAACTTGTTTTCACATAACTGTGAAACTTCTCTCGTATGGAATTAGGGTAATTGATGATAAAGTCATTTGATAAAATAAAATAAAACAATAAAAACTGTAAATATGTTTGAGGGTTCAGTGGCTTTAGTTACATTTTGTTACATTTAAAATATCACTATCCATTTTGTATAGTATTTATTGCGCTTTTTTTTTAACTATTCAGGTTTTGAACATCTTAAACTTAATTTCTTTCGTTTCATGACTTAAATTCAACCAAACTATTTAATCTAGCATAAACATAAGTTATATATAGTCATTACGTTACTAGTAAAATATTTTGTTTCAATTTTACTAACAAGTCATTGACGATTGTTATAGTAAAATATTAAGTATATTGGGTTCATGCACCTAACTTGAAAAAATAGTTTAAGTCAAAAGTCATTTATATACAATTTTTTACTCCTAAATGCGTCATTTATTTGTATGACGCAATGTTTTCTAAAAATCTCCAACGCTTCCTAAATTTGACCGCGGTCAATATAGCTTTGGAATCGACGTAAAGAATTAACATCGGCCCACTATAAAAACAGTGCAATATAAACAGAATATTGAAAAACATTCATATTTGTTGACTTTTTATTTGTTTTATGCAATACCTGGTCCACAGTATAAAAACATGCACCGATAACCCAATATGTGTATTGATAAAAAATGTATTTTTACCAGAGCTTCAATGTAAGCCCAAATAAGCCTAAGGCTAAATAATAAATTTTTATATCAGCGTTCTATGAATATTTACACTGTACTGTAGTTATTTTTCTTTTTCGTAATTTTCGAGCATACAATATAGTCTATAATAAAAATTTCTATGTAACTTGTTTTAAGTTTTTCCTCTATATGGAAAAGCAAATTTCTATCAAGAGGCCTATATTTTATTTTGACGAACAACTATTGTTCTAAACTCGTCATTTAATATAATTTAATCAGTCTATATAATTACTTTGAATTATACTTCTGTAAATTACTTTGAACATGGATAATGTAGGTCTTGACAAATCATTTAGAAATTAAATTTGCTGTTTAGTAAAAGGGCTATAAAATAAATAGCAATCCAACGTTCAAACTTCTTAATAGGAACAAATATTTTGTGCTCGGGTGAACTAGAATGTGCATGTCTGTGCGTGAGAGGTCATCACTTAATTGTAAGTTAAATGTATTAAGTTAAAATACATTTTAACCAATTAAGTCACCTGGTTCGATTACGTCAACACCTATATTTTGACAGGACTGTTTGTACCATATTTTATATTAAATTCTCATTTTAGGGGGATGGCCAAAGGGCTTTGAATGCCCTTTTAGTCTACGATGAAACATGACTTTTGATCCTAAGGTTAATTTTTAGATCCGGGCTAATCCTGTAGACGAAGAGTCAGGAGACAGGTTCCATCATACAGACTATAGTCTTATAATCCACTGATGTGTCTATCAAATCGTTGAGATGGGGACTAGGTGCGTATTTTAACCCAAATATGAGTGACGGTGAGTGTAGAATGGTGTGAGATGATCTGTGTAGCATTGTTACGGACTAAGATCGGATGTTTCTTTAGTCAGGGCCATTTTAAAAGCCCAATGATAAGGAACAGCTGGGTCAAGTTTTGAACATCAAAAAGCTGCAGGCTTTTCTCGGGATCGAATTGGAAACCTTTTGATGTTTAGGTGAGTACTTAACCACCCAGCTACCCAGTCCTGATCAGTAAACAAATTGATATAACATCGAAGATATCATATAGAGATTAGAAATCGAATGTTTTAAAATGTTCATATTGCTTACTAGCTATTATTGCAGATTTTTTACTTATGTACCAAAAAGAACTATTGATAAGAAGTTATGGTTGACTAAATTAGACTAGGCCTACTGTTTTTATTACGTCACTTGTAAAAATAACTGGATCTTGTTTGGTTTTATCATTGGTTTTATATAATGTTATGAGCTTGACAAAGGCCTACAAATCGGAACGTGGGTCGTAGGCTACATGCACTGGTGCATCAGAGCGTTTAAGTTCAAGCTATATACTCAACCCGTGTATTACATGTAAAATTATTTAATATGGTACAATATTTAAAGCCTGTTTTTGAATAAAATTATTCATACTAGTTGTTCTGCAAATGCCTCTCATCAGTAAAAGAATACTTAGGAGAATAATGTAGGTTTCTAAATCTATTGTAAAACTAGCTACAAACACTTACCATGCAAATTATATGGGCTAATCTCAATCATATTTATTGCTTAATTTAATGAAAATATCTTGTGTATTTGGATTTAACTGTGTGGCAGAATCAAAACAAATAACTTTATCGTAATGTAAACATCTATGATGAGAATCAAAACTTAACTCGTGGAAAAATTAAACAAAAATAACTATTAAGAGCTGGTGTATTTTCAGTATTTGAATGTGATTAGATATAGCCCTTTAATTGAGGTTCGTACCTTAGGAGAGGGTTTATTGAAAAACTTACTTTACTGAAAGATTTTACACTGGTCCAGAATACCAGCATCTTAAATACTACTGTTGATTCGAGTCTGGAAAGCCAAACTGTTTATTAGAGCTTGTAAAAATGCAGTAAAGTAACCTCAACGTTCTAATGTTGGTTTGTCACAGAAAAGTATAAAGTTCCATAAATATATATTTAACATAACTACAGTTCTTTTCTACGTACAATTCTCTAGTTTCAAATTGCCTTTGGTTATTGTTTAGTTTAAAATATGACCTTCAATTTGTAATATTTTTTTACTGCACTGGTTGGGAAGTTTTACATCAAGACCTTTCATTCCAGTATGCGATTCATAGGTTTGCAGTTTAAGTTGTCTCTAAAGTTCGTGGTCCTTTTTAGCTTTATATAGAGAGTTTGTTGTGTGTGTATTCATTTTATTGCATTTACAATCGGAGTGAATTTTTAAGAAACCTTTTCAAGTAATATAAATATTGTTATACAATTTTTAATTGTAATTTTAGTTTTGGGTAAAGAGTTGTCTGAATAAATTTATTTTGTTATATCCCATTATACCATCTTAGACTTTGCACACCACATTCCTGTATCGGCTAGTAATGAATCAAAATACTTATCTACCTTTACATATTTAATATTATTGTTTAACTCATAACATAATTAATTATCAACTTAAAATCCACTGTCCTTATCACACCCCATACACTAATAGTTTCCAAAGTCTGGAGAACAAATTAGAATCAAAGACCTCACGAAATTTAATTAAAATCATTAATTTCACTGAGGAAACAACGTTTTAATTAATATAAACAAACTGGAACAGTCTCTGCTTCAGGCAGGAGTTTAAAGTTTTAATAATAACTAGATTTAATTTTAAACATCAAATTAATCGTCGCGAAGAGTGAAGAGAGAGGGCTGTAAAACGATTTTCATTCCGTTAAAACAATGTCGGGGTAATTATAATAATAGTGATGTAATGCAAGGAGTTTAATCGACTCGGCGGGAACGAGTTGAGCATTGTTGTGCGCAGATAGCGGGTGGTGGGGGTAAAGGCGCGTGGAGGGGGAAGGAGGCGGAGCTTATTGGCCGCGCGCTTCATTCGCTCGCCAGTCGTCGTAGAGTACACATCAGCCGCGTGCTCCTCGCCGCGACTCTCACACGCGCGTGTTATGAACTGAAAAACAGTGTTTTCGCGTGTGTAAGTGACTCACTACTGTGGAATTGACGATTGGAGGCTTTACGGACGAGATGGAGGCTACTTATTGCATGGGAACTGACGTCGACGTCTGCAGGATGTTCGACCAGTATTTATACAAGGTAAACAATGTTTACATAATTATATTTGTATAATAATTATATAGATTAATGATTAGATGATAAAAAGTAAATTTAATTGTAAATAAGTATTCCTCTTTATACAAAATATCGGGTTAACTCTAAAACAAGGGATTTCAACAACAACATCACAATGTTGAACAATTAATTGGTTCAACATTTTTATAGCGATAGGTAATGGTTATCAAAGTGTTTCCACATATTAACTCAATAAGCGTGTTATGTAAGACCACTTAACCACGTGGAATATATAACTAGGTATACTTAGGCAATAAAATGAACCATGATGCATTGCTGCTGTATGGAATAATTATTTGCTACGAAATATGACTAATGTAATGGTTCCTTAAACTTTATAGTAAGAAATACAATTTTGTGATCACAGAAACGTCAAACACCAATGTAATACTAGATAATTGATTTTCATCTAATATTCTAATAAAAAATAATACACATAGGATTTTAGAGATGGATATTTGTAATTTAGGTACCGGTATGTAAAATTTTAAATCATTCATGCAAAAATTATGTAAATACATTTACCAACAGTAATAATGGTACATAACTATTTTCCATCAATATATAGTAGGCTACTATTTTATACAGAATAAGGTATAATAAAGCATATACAGTATACACACACATATGTATTCATTTTTTTAAATTCCCTCGCAATTTAACAGCCAATGTTACCTAATATTGGCGGGAACAAGAGGTCAAGCGCCTCGAATTTGAGTCTGATATCCCTAGAGGCGTTTATACTGAAAACAACAATCACAAACCAGATTTAACTATTGTGCAATCTAGACTAAATAGCACTGCACGAAATAAGCTAGGATTATGCAGGGCTATTACAGCGTGGTCTAGCTGAACGTATATGCAATTGAGAGTTTCAAATCAAATAATTACTTCTACTTATGTAGCAATGCTATACGACGAGTGTTTATGGTAAATAATGATTAGATATTCTAGTGGCTAAAGATTATTTGAATAAAACAATATTTAGCAGAAAAATTACTAGACTGTTATTTATGGTTATTTGTTTGAGTGGAGGTTACAAAAGTACGTTGTCATGTCAAAATAGAATTATTTGAAACAATTTAAAACAATATCCAGTTAAATAAACCTTTTGATTATTCAGACTGACTTACTTATTGACCGGTACACAGTGTGAGATGGGAGTTCATGTTTACAAACATTGTTTCATTAGCATGTTTCATTTTGTAAGCCTGCATAGTAAAAGAAAACTTCATGACTGGTAGATATGCCTGTGTGCAATAGAATCAAAGCGAGGATAACATCTGGAGGTAAGTATATCAATAAAAAACACTTCTCCAAAATAAGGAAATGACGTAAATGTATTTGGAATGACATTTCAAAACAACAGAAGCATAATTTGTTTAGCAATAAAAATTGAGTGCTTTAAAAGCAAAACATTTTATTAAATTGATAAAATGCATATAACAAAATACAATGTTCAGCTATTGTATTTACATATTTACGGGATTGGGTAATTTCGGACTCTACTAACAACAAAATCAAGTGTAAGCTAAAAACTATTTGAAAACAATCATAATTTGTTATACAAAAAAGTAGAGACTTTAAATAAACCACTTCAACATTGCTTTAAAACAGATTTCCTTACCGTGAGTAAAACTCTAGAAAGACAGAGAGGAGCTCAAAAACGATTCCGACCGTCTTTTGATTTATTGAACACCCTATAAATATTTTGAGTTCTCAATTCTAGTTTTGTATTCGAATTGTTTTACAAACCTGATCGCCATGAATATGGATGAAATTTGTTTAGGAACATGTCAACAATTAGAGAGAACTTCGTGTGTTGCGCAATCGGGGTGTCTAGCAATAAAATGTTTATTGTGTATTTGAATATGTGTTTCATTCGTCAAATAAATACTTATTCCGCAGCGTAATTTCTGCTGTTATAAAATGTACGTAATGAATTCCAATTTGGAATGAGACTGCCGTAGTAACTAGATCCAATGGGCTATAAATCCATTCTAAGTTGTAGGATTAGATAGAAGAGCTATTTCACTTCTAATAAACCGAATGAACAATTCCATACCACAACTCGAATTCATATTGTTGTTAATTAGAACGATTTATAAAGGAATAAATCTTACATATTCCTGATCAATAACAATACCGTTATAATTGTTATCACATAAAGTGACTCAAAAGAGTAGGTAGTAAAGAATTTCAGTAAATTCCATAAAATAAATTTAACAAAGTAGTAGTAGAGTTTCCAATCTCTTAAATTTTAAAGTAGGTACATTTGTATTTTTAATCTTTCTCAAATTCAACTTTATGTTTAAGATGTTTATGAGTTCAAATCCGTTAGATTCCATATAAATTAATAATTCAATAAAAATCGATTTTAATCCAAAATTCAAATTACCAGTACGGTTTTTTAATTTTTCTAAGTATGATTCATAAAAAAAAATTTTACTAACTACGTTTTTCTCAACAGATTTTAAACCGGCATATTTTCTGGTCAATATTCCAGAATAAGTACCATATAAGGTATATTTTCCTCACCAAATGAGTAAAGAAACAAGAGAAATTATATATAATTATTAGTGTCATGTAAATTAAACAAGTTAACTATCATAAATAACTTTATTTTCTACATATTTATTTTCCGAGTCACACACCGACGCAAATTAAATGTTTCCTCAGATTTCCTCGGTAAATAAAATACGAAGAATTCAAGCAAGCTGTGTACCTCATTAAAGTGAAAACTTGAGCAAGAAAAATATTGAGTAAAGTTCTCCGAAGCATGACGAATTGAGTAACGAACCAAAAACAGCCTTCGCCATATAATGAGGCTCACATGTAGTCAAATTTGAAAGAAAATTTCATAATGACGCTGTTTTATGACATTTTATAATTGCCCTAAATTTTTTAAGAGTTTCAATTCTTTGAAAGTTGAAAATAATGTTTCAGTTATAATTTTGTAAGACAGCACTAAGGGGAAATAGGACTATGTGTATGGTAGAGGAGTAAATGTAGACTTTTAAATGTAATAGTTATGAAGAAAATGTTGCATTTTTTTACATGTTTATCAACTACATACTCCCGCATTTACTATTAAATAAATCCTGATATAAGATAAATATCATTGTAAACTGGTGATTAGTCATATACACATTGTATGTGAGATTTAAGTATATTGGTGTTTGATAAGATGTCACCTCCGTGATATCCTCACATAGTGTTTTACAATTGCAAACCATTTAACACTTCACAAGGGTGAATTTAAAAGACTTTCATTATCAAAAACATTATTAAAGCTTAACAAACATGACTCAAATTTAAAATTATTTTGTTTTATCCACATCAAAAGTTGACAAGCCTTGCATTAGCGATAACAATTGAACTATTCTTGATAAATTTATATGTACGTGATCTATCACTTTAGTTTTTTCGGTGTAGCTTACATTTAAGACGAGAAATTATTGAACAAACTTACAAGTATAATGGTTTGAAATTGTTGAAATTAGTTTTCACAAGTGGTTTCACAAATTGCTAATTTCCTAACAGATGAGCCCACCTTCTGGACCCGCCAATAAAGATAAGCACTAACACTAAACTCTGTAGATAATCGACGAAGAACCAAACAGGTTTCTGGGGGCTGACGCGGCAAAAAACGGATCCGAAACCGCCGTCGGGCGCTGCGCTACTGCCCTGACTTTTCATTGTGATACTTAGTTTTGTTTGAAACATTTCGCTTAGGATTAAGCGTTCGGGGGGGTCTTTTTAAGATATTTTAAGGGATAAAGGTGATATTTCGTTTTACAGGCAAGTTTCCTTCTTAGATTCCTTTACAAACAGTTTTTAAATGAGTGATTCTTATTCTTTGTATATTAAACTAAAAGAAATTACATATTGAATAATTAACAATTAAAACTGTTTTTTTTTTCAACGGAAGCTTCTGCAGCCTTATTTTAAAATTGTATCAAATTTTTTTTACCGTATTAAACTATGTACAAAATTAAATGTACATAATAATCTAACTATAAAATAAGGTTGCGTAACAAAGGTCGATTTTATACGCGTAATCTTGTCAAACTAGGAAACTTGTTTGATTTGGATTTTCAACCTCTTCTAACATTAAAATATTGATTTCACTTTTTTTAGCAAAATTTCAAAGAGTGGCTTTAATTAGGGAATTTCTAAGTTCTTTTTGATGGCCTTTGAATCGCTTATTGACTTGATTAGGACATTTATGATTTTTTGGAAACCTTTGAATAGATAAAAATTACTTGATCACACTCTCTCACGTCTTTATGGCAAATTGTCAACATGCGTATGCCATACTGTACTTTGTAATACACGAAGTAGGATCTGTGACCAGTGATTTACAATAGAGTCAACATTGATACCATCAGATAAAGGTTCAGTTCACATTGTATTGACACCAATTATTGCAGCTGATAGTGAAGAATCTTTATACTGTAGAAATATTTATCTATGTTGCATTATTTTCAGGCTGTAGAAATATTTTGTTTCGATGGCTGTCCGTGATATTAAACAGATTTTTAATGGCAGACCTCAGCACAATTGTCAAAAGCATCCCCACAAGCGGCAGGACCTTAATCTCGTCTTCGCCTTGTATCAGGAATCCCTTAGTAAAACCATTGACTATATACCATAGCTATAGTATATAGTCAATGGTAAAACTCGTTGTTATCTATTGTCAAACTTTAAAAGAACACCAAAATATTTACTGTCGTGATTTTTCAAATTTCTTTAAGTCTGGGTTTATCTATAGATTACAATTTAGTGCCGACAAAAATCTTGAAACCGCTCAGATACAAAAATACAAATCGTTTCTCTGTTGTAGTTAATTAATTCGACGAGGTTTAATATTAAACTCGGAATCTTGATTGGCAGTTCCAATCCAAGATGTCGCAATCACAGTAAAGTCTTAATTATAAGCTGACACCCGTCAGGGACGTAAG